CACACACACACACACACACACACACACACACACACACACACACTCACATGCACACGCACATACATTCTCCTCTCTATTGATGGGGAGCGCCACCTGTTGGAAACTGGGTCCAGCGTCCCATGATCATCGTCAATAAAGCACCAACCGGGACCGCACACGCACTCTCTTCGAGTTATACATAGCGAACATGACAAAACATACATATAGCATAATCACTACCTTACCCTTCCCGAACCACATAAACAAACGAACTACGGGCTGCGCACCCGTGCCCTCACGGTAAGTCAATATGCCCACGTGAGTACATACCCACGTATATCACAAATACCCACTTATATCCAGTTAAACCCACATATACCCACGTGTGCATATACCCACATACACCCACTTCGGTATATACCCATGTATGCCCACTCTATCCACGTAGACCCACATGCTCCCCTGTAGGCCCACGTGAGTATATATCTGCATATTACAAAGTATAACAACTTGGGTATATACACACATATACCCGCTTATACCTGCGTGGGTATATGCCCACTTATACCGGCGTGAGTGTATACCCACTTATACCCAGATGGGTGTATAGGCATATACCCACAAATGCGCACGTACATCAAAGCTTGGCCACATGGGTATATACCTGCACATACCCACATAAACCCATGTGGGTAAACACTCGCATATACACACATGAGTATATACGTGTGTACGCCCTTGTTTTTTTTTTGGAAGCCCGGATTGTTGTAGACGCCAGGGTCCAAGCGTGCCCTTGTGTACCCACACATAAACATGTGGGGATATACCCACGCATACACAAGTATACTCACGTAAGCCTTCATTGGTATATACTCATGTATACCCATGTGCGTATATACCCGCAGGCACCAGCATGGGTATATGACCTCCTATACCCATGTATTTGCATGTATACCCACGTATACCCACATAGGTATATACCCATGTATACGTAAGCGTACCCACGTGGGTATATATGCATGTATACCCATGTATACCCACCTAGGTCTATACCCATATATACTTAAGTACAGCCATGTGCGTTTTTACCCAATTGGGTATACCCACGTCGGTATATGTGCATGTATACCCATGATGTATACCCACCTAGGTCTATACCCATATAAGTACAGCCATGTGCGTTTTTACCCAATGAAGTATACCCACGTGGGTACATGTGCATGTATACCCATGTATACAGCCCTGTGCGTTTTTACCCAATTGGGTATACCCACGTGGGTACATGCGCATGTATACCCATGTATACCCACCTAGGTCTATACAGCCATGTGCATTTTTACCCAATTGGGTATATACACCAGCATGGGTGTATGACCTCCTTTGCCCACGTATACCCATGTAGGTACGTACCCATATAAACCTAAGTGTTCCCACATGGGTATATACCCACGTATATCCACATACATATATTCCTACCTATAGCCACATACACACATATAGCCAGTTATACGCATATATACCCACATATACCAACATATACCCATGTTGGTATAAGTGGGTATACACCCGCGTATACCCACATGGATATGCCCATGTATACCCATACATACCCATTTATACCCGCATAGGTATATGCCCATGAATACCCTCGTACACACACATATAGACAAGTACACCCTCGTATACCCATGTATATCCACCCCTCGTATACCCATGTATATCCACGTATAACCACATATACCCACGTATACCCATGTATGCCCATGTATACCCCGCACGTGAGTATATACCGACACGAGCCCACATGGGTACATAGCAATTTATTCCCACGTTTGTCCATGTGGATGCCAGTGGCTGTATACCCACCTATACCCACATATACCCACGTGCCTGTATACCCACCTATACCCCCATACGCACACGTGCCTGTATACCCACACATACCCGAATGGGTGTATACCCACATATACCCACGTAGACCCATGCAAACCCACGTTGGTATATACCCATATATGCTCATCTACCAGGAGCAGCCCCGCCCCGGGTCATCGGAGCATTGTAGGAAGGTGATGTTCACCTGGAAGGGTGAAAGGTTCACCCTCGATAATTCTCGTCTTTTTCATATTGTTATGAGTGGTGTGGCGAGGAGCAACTGCCTCGTTTACCTGCAGCCTTTGCTCAGTATGTGGATCGGTGGCTTTTGTATAGTAGGTGCAGCAGCACATGCAGCTATTTTCTGTACGCCCTTCCAACTCTTGAATTCCTGACCAGAGTACAAACCCGTGAACTCAACAGATGGAATGAATTAAAATGAAGGAATAGCAAATTACCTGGAGACGTTCAGTCACTAGTGATATGTCATGGCCGTTCCCCTTTCAGAAAAGGAAAAAGAAACCGAAAAATAAATTCCATTTTTCCATTTCTTTTTTCCTTTACTCGTTCCCCATTTACCTCTCTCTCTCTCTCTCTCTCTCTCTCTCTCTCTCTCTCTCTCTCTCTCTCTCTCTCTCTCTCTCTCATTATCCACCCGGCCAGATGCTGCTGCACTTTGCACCAAAACTGGCTCACCGCGGCATTGCACAGAAAGACAGGTCTCTCTCTCTCTCTCTCTCTCTCTCTCTCTCTCTCTCTCTCTCTCTCTCTCTCTCTCTCTCTCTCTCTCTCTCTC